CCCCAAAACCCCAAAACCCCAAAACCCCAAAACCCCATAGAGTTTTCGCTTTGAGTATTAAAGGAAATTAGAAAAAGATTAATTTTGAATTTTAGTCATAAATCAATTAGAGGTTGTGATTGATGCTTAAAATTTTACAATTATAAGCTTTGATTTCAACATATTTGTTTTCAGAAAATACTACCACTAGTAGTCTTAGCCATTTTAAGGTAGGCTCTGGTTCCAGTTATAGGCAATAGAGATAAGAATACTTGACTCATAATAGGCTAGAATACTTCTTATAAAAGTGTGAAGAAATCAAGCGTATTGTCAACATCACCAAAAGAAAAAAGCTAAAGTGCCAATGGATAAAGTATTGCCTGTGAGCCAACAAGAAAAATAAGTGCGTAGGTAACAATGTTTGTAAACGTCAAGAATTTAGAATAGTAAGATGATTTTGCTAGGGTCTTTTTATCTAAGAAGAGAAGATATAAGGCAAATGGAGCGACAGCTGATGATAGTACCTAGCTTATCCCAGATGCAGCTAAATAACAGGCGAACACAAAGAAGGTAAATATTATGTCTTCCATTTCAATATCACTTCTTAGTTTATTCTATAAGTCTTTAAATGGGATTTTGCCTATGTTAGGGATAATCTCTTTCATGATGAACTCTTTAGTATTTATTTCCTAAAATTTCCGCGCAGCATTCTGCTCAAGTGTAGGATTATGTGATGATCGAAGAGCGGAAGCATTCTAGATCAGTTTAAGAATGATTCCTTCGTAAATTGTTAAGCATGCAAGGATTATTGAGGAGTATTTGTAGTATTCAATCGGAATAGATGAGAAGATTTTGAGTACATCGGCAAAGAAGTCCTGAACTACCGGAACAGAACTTACAACGGGTGAGCTTTCAAATTGCATTTAATTATGATATATTATTGTCATCTAAACTTATATTGTTCAAATTTCCTTCTCCTAAATTATTCCTGAATAAATGCTTAATCTACCTTAGTGGGGTTTTGGGGTTTTGGGGTTTTGGGG